AAGAGATTGATGAAGACGACATGGCCCGAGGGGAGTTAGAGGACATAATTGTAGAAACAAAATCTATAATTAAAACAATTTTGGCCAAAAATAGAACATCTATTGCTGAAACATCATTCGTAACGTCTCACAGCTCAAGGCTCAAAAAAATGAATTTGCCGAAATTCAAGGGAGAATATTCGGAATTTAAAAATTTCATGAGTTTGTTTGAGAGTTTGGTTCACAATGATCCAAACATCCCAGATATTGAAAAATKTAACCATCTGGTTAATTGTCTATTTGGGGAGGCTCTGGGCACGGTAAAGGCATTTCAAATGTCGGATGAAAATTATCCGAAGGCATTGGCAAGTCTCAAAAAGGTTTACGACAATAAATGTTTAATTTTTTTTAAGACGATTTCAAAACTTTTTGAGCTGCCAACTATCCCTAAGCCTTCAGCCCCTTCATTGCGCGCTATGATTGAGGAAGTGTCGGCTGTATATGACTCATTGCTATCGCTGGGCGATGAGAAACAAATCACAAATGCGATAATTATTCACATAATCATGACAAAAGTTGACTCTGCCACCCGATCAAAGTGTGAAGAACAGCTGGATTACGACAAGTTACCATTGTGGAAGGATTGTGAAGCTACCTTAAATAGACGGTACCAGCACCTATCAGCTGAAGGCGCATCATCTTCGAGGACGAGACCCATCGCAGCAGCCAGCACGAACCACGTGAAGCAGCCTCACATGAATGGAACRAAGTCCGCTTTAGTTGCAGCGAATACAAAGCAGCCGACATGCCAGCAGTGTAAATCGAAGGACCACTATTTAACAGCTTGCCCCAGTTTTAAAACTCTATTTGTTCAACAGAGATTTGAGTTTGTCAAATCGGTGCCCTTATGCATAAATTGTTTGCGTAAGGGACATACGGTATCCAAATGCAGAGCGGATCGATGTCGCGTGTGTAATCGGTCCCACCACACATTACTGCACCAGTATCCTGTATCCTGCGCTGCTGAACCTCATCCGCCAACAACAACTACACACGCAATGCATACAATAAGTGTGCCTGATCGGGTAATGTTGGCAACCGCAGTTATTCTGGTAAGATCAAGTTGTGGAGAGTACCTGCCCGCAAGAGCCCTGCTAGACTCAGGAAGTCAAGTCAACTTCATGATGGAGGATTTGGCCCAAAAACTGCGGATTGGACGACAAAACAGGACATTAAATTTTATAGGGACTGGAAATTCAAGTAAAAAAGTCGGGGCCAAATTAAGCGTATTTGTTAGGTCGCGCGTAAACAATTATGAATTTTCGGCGGAATTCTGGATTATGCAATGTATTTCGGCTAATCATCCAGACCATACCATTAATGTTAATGGTTGGAAAATTCCGCATAATATTAAATCCAAAATTCCAAAAATCTCAAAAGATCGATATGCTATTATGGGCAGAAACCTTTTTCGATTTATTAGCGGTTGGCCAAATTAAAAGTGGCCCTAATCAACCAACGCTACAGAAAACTCTTTTGGGATGGATTGTTTCT